TTTGGACTGATGTCTCAGCCAGTCGCTCACAACACTTTTGACTTCATCATCACTTTTAAACTTCGTGCCTCTCGTGAACGCTTTCAAGGGACCAAACAGGTGAACGTCTGAAGGGGCGAGGTCTGTGCTGTAAGCGGGGTGAGGGAGCAGTTCCCAGCCCAGCTCGTTGATGGTCTGCACCGTTTGGGCTGCTGTGTGAGGCCTTGCATTGTCATGATGCAAGATGACCGACTTCTGACTGATGACCCCTGCGTTTGTTCTTTATGTCTTTCTTGACCTGCCTCAGCAGTTCACAGTAGTTGCCACTGTTCACAGTGTTTCCTTTCTCAAGGAATGAAATGGTGATTGGGCCTTGCATATCCCAAAAAACGGTGAGCATCACCTTCCTTGTGGACCGCTGGGACTTGAACTTCTTCGCTGGAGAGCCTACGTCCTTCCACTCCATGGATTGGCGTTTGGACTCAGGCTCATTGTGCCAAACCCATGTCTCGTCACATGTGACCACCTTCTTCAGAAACTCATCACCATCCTTCTCATAGCGGGAAAGACACTGCTGGGACAACTCAACCCTCCTCTGCATCTTTGGCACCCACCGGCAGCTGACCTTCGAGTAGCCAAGGTCATCATGGACAATTTTGTGTGCTGTCCCAACAGATAAACTCAAAGTCCTTGCAATGCCATCCACTGTCACCCTTCTGTCAGACTGAATGAGGTCATTGACTGATTCGATCACCTCAGGAGACCTCACTTCTGTAGGCCTCCGAGGCCTGTCTTCATCCTCAACACTGCTCCGTCCTTCTTTAAACAATTTAGCCCATTTGTAGAGATTTTTTGGCTGAAACATGTGGCACCATACACGGTTGACATTCTCCTATGACTTTCAACTGGTTTGCACCCTTCAGCAACCAAAAACTTGATAACTGACCGCTGTTCAATCCTGGAGCATGCTTCTTGGTCGGCCATCTTTGTTAATCGCCAAAACTCTAGAAAAGATTTTTTTAATCTGTAAAAGAAATTAAATCCATGTGAAAAAGAAGTAAAACAATAAATAAATAAATAAATGAAAAGTAAGCTTCTATCTGTATTAGAAGTCCTTATACCGAAAAATTTACTTTATTTATTGAATGACCCTCGTACATTGCTTTAATTTGAAAAGTCAATAGGTTTGGTTTGTTTTACGGCTTTTCAATCCATTGGGTCATTTAATACCGAAATTTAATTTTTTTCTAAACACACCCTTGTAGTTAAATGGTCAAATTTTTTTAAATAGTACGAGTGTTGTTTGTTACGGTTATATATTTTCTAAATTACATTTTTGAAATCAGTTTTATATATTTTTTTTTAGTGTTGCATTGATTGTCATTCTACTATAAAAATGTACAGCTGACTTTTGTTCGGGGATTCACTTTTTACCCATAGTTGAGACTAATAGGTGTTGCCACCTCGGGTTAGGGTGGAGCTGGGAACAACAGCAGTTAAGAGGTGGTTCCACGTTCCTCAACACTTCCAATCTCCAGATCAGAGGCTTTGCTGCCGGATATTGTTTATCATCACACCCAGGACGATGAAAAGTCGAGTCATGTTTCTAAATAGCCTCATCAGATCGAGACTTTCATATTTCGTAATGCCATTCATGGCGCCGATTCCATTCAAAAATACCTAAACTGTCAGCTGTATACAATTGCTTTCTTAGATCAATGGTGAAAAAAGGCTTCGAGTGAGTAAAGACTGAGAGTCTTGGTAAAGGTCATCCTTCTTTAAACATCGTGGACTGGCGCTACAGACTCATAAACAAAGAAATGTACCAAATAACAGAAACTACATCACTTGAGAACATCGGCAGCAACTAAAATGGATAGCACATGTAACTTAAAGAGAAAATAATGACATAATCAAGATGTTTCATATTAATTCAAAGAAAAGGTGAGAAAGGAAGTCCCCATCAATAATGGAAAGAGCGAAAACAGTTACTGAACTCGAGAAAACTATTTTCCCGAAAAATCGTTTGAAGAGACAGAAGTACTGGTTGCTCGATCAATGAATGTTGAATGTCTCCTTGTAAGAAAACGTTTAACATTAGCATTATTATTACAATGCTGTCAAGAGAGTGAAGTAACTAATTTTATGAGTTCTGTTATGCGTCTGTAGATGCGCAAATGTCAAATATTATTTACTAGAAATACCCGTGAAAATTTCACAGTTTTCCTATCTGAATTATCTGATGAACCTTAATCCTTCAGTTAATGATTGAATAAGCTCATGGCGACAATAAGACAATAAAATATTCGTAGAAATTCCTCTATCGCATCGTTAAATATTTGGGCTTAACAAATTTAACCAAATATTGCAACAATCACAAATATGAAATGCTGGTCATTATTTTACGTAGTAAAGCGGTACAAAAGAAAAGATTTGAACTTGACAAGTTTTTCCATTTCCCTGAAACATTTCTTCTTTCCTTTCTTTTTCTTTCTTTCTTTCCTTTTTCTTTTCTTCTCTCTTTCCTTTTTCTTTTCTTCTCTCTTTCCTTTTTCTTTTCTCTTTCCTTTTCTTTTTCTTTTCTTCTTTTTTTTATGTTCTCAATGAAACTAAGTAGCGTATCTGATATGTATTTTACGTCTTTGCACGCGTTCAAAATGGAATAGTCTATTATTTATGAGGCATCGACAGTTTGTAACAGTCGTGCCAACTAAAGGAGAGACAAGCAGAATTATATTCTTTATATATATTGTCTAGATTCACCTCTAAAACATCCAGAAACTTTCATCATGACACCGTTTTGATGTCAAACTTAAAAATGGAAACTGAAAGAATTCTTAGATATTAAAAGAAAGCATGAAGCAAGGACTATTAATTTAAAAAAGACAGAATGTATGGCTGTCAATAAAAAAAGCAGCAAAAGTTATGTGATACCTACAGGGGATGTCAAATTCCTGGAGGTACAGAAATTTAGCTATTTGAGTAGTGTTGTAGCAGGTAAGAGAAAATGTGACACAAAGTTCGAAGCTGCACTGAAATAAGATGTTTTCCAGAAACTAAGCAAAGTATAAAGAGAAATGAAATTTCGTTACAAAGAAAAGAGTACTGCACTGCTATGTAATATGTAAGAAAATTGTCCCGCGTACACTGCCGTACAGGGAATGAATGCTAGACTATTCCCTCACAGATAAAGACGAGACTTAAAGCGACAGAGACGGGGGTTCGTAACGACAAATGCGTGGAATACCACGGAGAGAAAAGAAGAGCAACGACGGAATTTCCACTGTGAAACCACTCCATAACAATTAGTTCAAATGTAAATTAGGGTAAATAATGATAAATTATATTCCCAGAAATTCAGACAGAGCTTTAGCCTATCCTGGTCAAATCGGTAGGGGTGTTACCCCTGTCGGACGGAGCCTCAAGGTAAACGGAATAAGAGTTCAAATCTCGTCGAAAATTTATTCTTTATTTCAGATCTATGCTGCGGAGAGGGTAAAGATGACCCAAGCTTTGCGATAAAAAATGAACACCAATAAGCTGAAAAAATAAACATGTATTCGTTTAGGTTTATCTGTGTTTCAAATGTTCATACTTTGCCCATTTAATGTTTCTTAACATTAAGGAAAATTAACAGCATCGGAAATGGAATCAGCGAAGCGAGTTCAAATTTCGGTTGAGGTTGTTAGTGTTCTCTTCTCACCATTTCCCTTGGGGAAGGCATGAAGGAAAAAAACAAGAAGCAGCAAAATTGTGGTTCTATAGAATGTTACTGAGAACTCCATGGATGGAGCGAGTAAGCAAAAATGAAGGCTTAAAGATAATGACAACAGAAAGAACATATACTCAAAATTAGGAAAAGACAGCTGAAACTCCTTGAACACATGATGAGAAAGGTGGGCTTAACTTAACCCTCACGAGGCATATTGAGGGCAAGAAAAACAGGGGATGGCAGCGAGCCATTTAATTGACGAGCTTGCGTGAATGGATGGCGGGGGCCTTAGCAAAAGGAGAAAATTTGCTAAGATCCACACAAGATAGAAAGTTATGGATGGCCATGATCACCTATATCCGGAAGGGATGCAGCACATAGAAGAAGAAAGTGTTGCTAGGAAAGAAGTTGAGCATTGTTAAGTAAACTCCACTGCTTGGAGAAATTTCAAGTAGAACCAAGCAAATTACCGGACAATATGTGTGTGTGTGTGTGTGTATGAGTGAGAGAGAGAGAGAGATATTGTTGTTCTATTTATTTTCCCTTTTTTTCTTGTAAACAGTGGGTTTTTGACTAATCTATGTAACAAATGCGAATGGCAGTGTGTCACACGTTTTCAACTTTACTCCTAGAGGACGTAGCCTAACATATCATACGATTTCGGAATCAGGCCGACTCCGTGAACAAATTAAAGAACATTCCAGGTCGGATCCGGACACGCAATTCTGAAATTTTTTGTAGGATAACATTTTGTAGAACTTGGAAATAAATTTGGGAATAATCGAAATATTTGCGCAATCCAACGAAAGTCTGTACGGAAATTAAGCACCTACGTACATCAAATTGTCTTTAAATTAAAATGGCGGCAGAAGAATTATCTTTGAATTTTAATGTAATACTTAAATGCAACGATCAATTTTGAGTTCTTCTGTAGTTTATTGTTGCCTATCCTATCTACTCCTCCCTACATACTGTGAGGAAGACCCAATCAAGAGCCTTCTGATAGGGCGGATTTTATGTTAGTTTGAATATATTTGCATTTAAAACATGCCTGTAGCCCATCTCTAAAAAACAGGAAAATATGGCGTCTAACAGTTGAGCACTCGCTTTTATTCATTTTAAGAGTATTCCGGATTTGGTAGAAGAGCATGTAAAGAGCGACAATGAACGATGAACTTGTTTTATGGGCATAATTAAAGTTTGTAGAATGTAAAAAACGACCTGAGCGTTGCGATAAAACAAAAAGCAACAACAATAAGACTAAAGATAAACTAGAGAGTTATGATTATATGTATTCGTTAAAGGGTTTACGGCTACATCACGTTAAAGCACCGATTCCCGTACGATAAGCGAAGTTAAGCAACGTCTAGCCTAGTCAGTACCTAGATGTGTGACTGCTTGGGAATATCAGATGCTGTAAGTATAGGTGGTGTATTGGATAATGGCTTCGAATCGTCAATCATTGAGCCGAGTTCCACTTCCAGTTGTGTTCGTTAATTATATTCACTTACGCAGGGAAGGTATGAATGCACCTATGGGTTAATTAGTTAGACTTGCATAACTAAATCATTATTATCTAAAAAAAAAAAAAAAAGATTCTTGCAATCTAAAAATATTTTCTGACTTTATATAACCTGAAGAGGTTGATAAGCCATAGAAAATAGATCAGTGAATGAATCAGTCAATGTATTTGTTGGAAGTTTTCTGTGTTACAAATATTCATATTCATACCTTTTTAAGCTTTCTTAATATTATTAGGGAGGTACAGTGGAGTAATGGATAGCGGATCGGATTGAGGAATCGGAGAGATGAGTTCGAATTCCAGTCGAATCCATTACATTCACTTACGTTCTAATACCCTTGGGAAAGATATGAATCCTCTTCTTCGCCCTCCAGATATGGGTAAATTGCAGGATAGACCGGGTTCTATAACCTTGAATGGCAACTGGTCTACCGCAGAAAGAAATGGCAACCTAATGCGGGAAAAAATCTGCCTCGCCAGTCCTGTATCGAAAGATACAGGATCGCCTAAGCGTGTATATCACGTATGACACATAATTGAATTTTATTAACGAAGATTAACAGCATCGGTGCGAAGGGAGTTTAAATTTAGTGAATGATCTCGGAATGTGCTTACTTAGATTATTCATGGAAAGGACAGGTGTCGAGCAATCTCATGAGCTTCAGAAAATTGGCCATTCACATTAGCCTTCATGGACTTACTTGAGAGAAAGAACTTGATGTAAGCACTTCCAGAAATGCCATAGTGAGTTTATATAGCCACAACTACCACAACAACTCTATAAAATAGAAATAATTATTACTAGTTTAGAGAGGCATTTTGCTTTCACAATTCATCCTATCTCGGTCAAAGAATGTATTCAGAGAAAGTATTTTCAGTATTAATTTGTCTAGCTTTTTTTTTAATATATATATATCTCGATATAATACACATGGAGCGTTAAATTGGCGTGAATAAAGGGGTAGCTTTAATAATTTCAAGTCCTTTTCGAACAATTGAAATCATTCTTTTTGTGACCTGCTGCATTTTGTAGCGTTTCGGTTGTTTCATTCTATAGCCTTCTTTAAGGGTACAGTTCGTTAGAAAAGAGAAAAAAACAAATCATGGTAATGCATATGTGTGTTGCTTTGAGAAAGGAGCATTTAAGAAAGGAGATATTTGAAAAAAAAAAAAAAAAAAACATGGCGTAAAATTACAAAGAAAATTCCTGACATTTAAAAATGAAAAATAGATAGATTAATTAAATAAATTAAATTAAATTAAATACATAGAAATAAATAATGATTACATAAATAATAAAAATCAATAATAACAACAACAACAATATTAACTCATTTTCGTTTAACAGGCCGAAAAATGACGTCACTTAACGTGCTCTGTAGTTTACCTTTACTCATATAATAAGATTCTAGAATATTTTTGAGCATTCTCTAATTTGAAATTTGAAAACGTAACGATATTTCTGTCTACATTACTTCTGTATATAAATCCAGGTTTTCAAATAAAAATTCCAGTATCACGAACGCGACTGAAATTGGAACTCGGCTTTCCAATTCGGGGCCGTTATCCATTACGCCACTTGTACCTTTTATTTCTAAAGGTCACCCATCTAGTTACTGACCATTCTCGACTTTGCTTAACTTCGGTGATCGTACGAGACCTAGAGTTTTAATGTGATATGCCCATAAGCCATATATATAATTCATGTGTAATGACAACGTATTCTGATGTCGATATAGTTGATTACATGTATTCTGGACAATGATATTCGCATATTTCTTTTTTTTTTCTTTGCAAGACATGGCAACACTATCCCCGCCTTCAATGACCAATAACTTTCTCTCGACTCATTCATGTTCTTTTTAGTCCCTTTAGACATCACAGACTCCTTTCGCTTTCTTTTCTACAACTCCCAAGAAATCACAGACCACAAAGCGGATAGGTTCTATTCGGACGTATCTGACAAATTATTCTAGTCTCACAAAAACTTCCCCCACCCTGCTATTTCTACCATGCCGCTTTAGACCATCCACGCTTTTCCGAAACTCATGCTGTGTGCGTAGTGGTAGTCGGGTTTGCGTATGCGCGGTTAAGTGCGGACAAGGCGTGTCGGATTCCGCTATCCGGGAGATGCCGGATCAATCCCTGAATGCTACTTGTCAGATGTAATCACCTCTCAAATATGTCCGAGAAAAATAAATAATGGTACGGGTCGTGCTGAATCTTGCCTTTCGCGCATCTCACGTGCCGAGACCGTCACCCTTCTTTTCTATTCGGGACCCCAACCCCGCTTTTCCAAATGCAATCCACCTATCCCTACCCTAGAAACCCAAAACCGTCCACCCTTATCCCTGTACCAGCCGCCATCTATCCTGTACTCTTCATCTTATTACCAGCCATTCTGACTCACTTCTTAATTTTGTTTCGCCACGGGTGACACCTCTTCGAAGTTATTTCTTTAACACATTTTGAAAACCTTTAATTGCTCCTATCCCACGTGTCGGGACTAAAGAGTTAGTAAGTTTGTGGGCTATTTGTTGTTGTTCTTCAATGTTTCCTTCCTTATTCAACCCAATCCCACTGTAAGTGAGTTTGGATGGAAAGCCGTTCTTTGGCCATACATATATCTATATTTCTACCACTGTGTATTTCCCCAGCGGTACTGCCCATCGGCCGAACGCTGTTTGCATGCTTCCCGTAGGCCACTGTTTACAACGCCAAAATTCTAACAGCCACTGATTTTTTTCCATTTCGGGATACACTCGTTCTGGTTATTGTAATGAAATTATCTTTACATGGACATGTTGTCTCAGCTGTTTCAATCCCTCCGCCCATTTCGATTCGCCATTCACGCACATACTTGGGCCGTACAATCTATTTCTCAACCAGAAAACGCACAAATTGTGTTAATTTTTTTCAGTTAATTTCACTGGAAAATTTATATATAAAGAAAACATTGTAACTGTGACTTCGCATAAAAACGGCCGTCAGCAACCAATATTCTAAAAAAATATCCATTCTCCCTTTGGAAAGGAAAATATACTACTGCGAGATGTCTATAAGTAAAATGATTACATATAATTTATGAGATTTTTTAATCATTTCACCCTAAGTAAGCTAATAAAGCCACTAAGACGCAAGGGGTTGCTGAGTGTTAGAGAATGTTAGAAAAAAAACCCAATAAAACAGAAAATAACGAATGACACTGCATTTAAATTTTTGAAGATCAAAGTTAAATGGAAACCAAGAAGCCGGAAGTGAGTTCTACAAGAAAGAAGCGCGATAAAAGAAATTGTTAGCACAAAACTTACGATTCCATCGAACCACTTCAACTGTAAAATGATGAGACCTTGCCGCAAATCTAGTACTGTGCTTAAATTCATAAAGTGTAGGTACCATAGAGAAAAGTAAAATTTATTTTGAAAAGACAAAATTGTGGCACAAGGCCAAAAGTGGGGGGGTAGGAGAAGGCTGGTTTTCAATCTGTCTTATCTTAAACTTAGCTCGCCACAATTACAGATCTAAACATACATTATTCTTTACATCCGAACGACACATTCTTACTTACCATTCTTACTACGGCCACCATAATAACTCAGAATCTTTATGAAGTCCTAACTAGTTCTCAGTTGCACAATTTATCTGTGGTGGGGTGGATAAAAATAACATTTTAACATGAAACCCCAAAGAATAGAGGAAAGTTTATCAAAAAAAATATTATTTATATATAAAAAAAAAACACAGGGAAGCTACGTTGATGGGAAAGTGACTGAAGCCGAGATGTCAAGTCAGGACCTATAACATTGCGAATCCTTCTTTGGATTTTATCAAGAATCTCTAAATATATAGCAGGAGCACTAGACCAGATGTGACAGCAATATTCAAAGCAAGTACGAATGATAAACTTATAAACATGTAAAACAGATTCTAGCGAGAAAAATTGTCTAGCACGACATGGTGAACCTGGTTTGCTAGCAGCTGACCTAGAAATTGATTCAATATAATCTTTCCATATTATGACTACGGGAAACGTTAAAAAAAAAAAAAAAAAACGTAAAAAGATATTTTTTTTTAGTACAAATTCCATCCAATACAAGGCACAAGACCCATTCAATGTAGAGTGTTATATTCAAAATTGTAATGTTGAATTCAGTGTACGATATGAATGGGTGAAAAGTAGGGAAAAATGAAGATCATGAAGCGAAGGAATGAAGATGACGATGGACTGACCCTTGACTTGAAGAAGTTAAAGACTGAACTGTTCAGTTCTACAAAGTGTCATTTCTAAGGATAAATTTTAAAAAATTCTCCTTACATTGGGAACACAGAGGAAACGGAGTTGATCAGACTACGTCAAAATAGTATGACGTATCACAGATGTAATTGTCTGAAGTGGCGGAATTAGAGGATGGAGATCAACTGAACATTTGTTACGGAAATGGCTATACAGAGTAGCGATAAAGTGGCAACGTTGTGTTTGTGGGTAAGAAGTTTGCATTGGAGAAAATAAGTCTTCACCATAAGACGGCATGAAAAATTTATAACCCTATCGATGCTAAAAAGCGACGATTGAGCAACAATATGGCAGCGATACCCTTTTTGGACTTTTTGCTCTTCTCGCTTGTGGAACTCTACCTCGCCAACTTTGATCTTCAAAATGTTAAATTCAATGTCAATCGTTATCTTTTGTCTTAATTCCTGTCGTTTTTTTTTGTTTTGTTTTTTTTACTGTTATCTCGCCTTAATATTTATTTTTTTTCTCATTCTCTCACACTCAGTAACCCCCTTGTGTCTTAGGGGTTTTATTACCTTGCTTGGGATGAAATGATTAAAACAAAATTTGACTCTAGTGACGATAAACCACTTCTGAAGAAGTCTGGCACTGCCTGGAGCGATAG